TGGAATCAACTCAACGGCAATGGATTTGTTTGTTTTGGGTTTATACAGCTTTATAACTAAATCTGATTAAAAATTTGAAATGAATTTTATTTTAAAATTTTATATTAGGAAATATTTCAAATATACAAAGTAGTAGTAAAAATATACTGTATCTGCATATACATGTTACTCAAATTTAAAATAATCACATTTGCTTCTTTGTTTTTCATCTCACTAAATAAAAGTTTTTAGACACAGCTAAATCACATACTTTTAAAATGGAAAGATAATTTATAGATTATGTTGTGTAATTGCAATTGTTGTAGATGAGCAAGGTCTCTGACAAGGTAAAAAGTAGATAGTTTCAAATCATATAGTGAGTTAGTAGGTTAAAAACCAAAAAATCCCAAACCCACTGTCATCGAGTTGATTCTGAGTCACAGCAACCTCCATTGGGTTTCCAAAGTGGCAAATCTTTACTGAATTAGATTGCCCACTCTGTGGAGTGGTTGGTGAGTTCGAATCGCTAACCTTTTGGTTAGCAGTGAAATGCCTTAGGCACTATGCCACCAGAGCTCCCAGTTAGTAGGAACTGAAAACATGCTCTTTGTATCCTGGTTTATATTTCATGCCTCATGCCATGTATAGTATATTGTGTGAGGAAAAAAGTTCTTCATATGAAAATTTTCTCCACAGAATTTTTTTTTTTTAATTGTGATTTAGGTGAAAATTTACAGAGCAAATTCACTTTCCATACAGCAGTTCGCAAACACTTTGTCTCATGACATTGAGTACAATTTCCCACAGTGCAACAGCTCCTCTCCTACTTAGCTCTTGATAGTTACCTCTTCCCTGTGTCCATCCCTCCATGCGCTCCTGCCCCGAGCTGTCTCGCTGTGCATAAATAGCCCTTCTTTTTCCCATGATTGTTCTCTCCAAGGAGTATATCTACCTCAGGTAAATGTTCAACTCATATGCCTACACAAAATTTTTTTCAGGAAAACAATCTCTCGTTTACTTGAGAACATATAAAGCCAGAATGCTGAAAATATAGATTATTATTACATACTTTTACATTAAACAGTAATGGGGTCTAGAACAGATTTACCACTGGAGATAACAATGAATTTTTATTTATGTACTGGTGTGCTAATTTCAGATTAATTTTTGTTATGGCTTTTGCTAATGAGCTAACTTGAATACAGGCATGAAAGAGTTTTTGGCAATAAATTATTTGGTATCAGTAAAAATAAGACTACATTTGGTATGTGTTGCTGATGAACTTGCTTTTAGAAACAGAAATGATAAAGTTGGATTACATATTAAAAGATAATCAGGTAAGTGACAAGAAGTTTCTTGCAAACAATATTGTTCTTGGCCAATAAGAAAAGATAATGGAGAAAACATATCAAGTGTTCATTTCACACTAATCTAAAATATTTTTTTGTAGTTTTATTAGGTTTCAAATATGCTGAACAGATTGTATTCATTTTAATAACATTTGATTTCTAGTTATTTCCCTTAACAATCTATGTCAAAGCAACACCAGAAAAATATTTACTTATTTACTTTTCATGCTTTACAAATACTTTAAGAAAAGGTCAGTTGTGCAGCAAAAGACAATAAAACAAACTGCACCAAAAGAAATGTTCCTTAAACTTTTTAAGATCATTGTAAACCAAAAAAATGCAAACCTGTTGCCACTAAGTAGATTCTTAACTCACAGAGACCCAACAGGACAGATTAGTATGGCCCCACAGGGTTTCCAAGGCTATAAATCTTTATGCAAGCAGACTGCCATATCTTTCTCCCATAGAGCTGCTGGTGGGTTCAAACTGTGAATCTTTCAGTTATCAGCTGAGGGATTTTAACTACTGCACCATTGGGGCTCCTTAACATCACTATAAAATGCAATACAATGCATGTGTGGAGCTGGATCCTACTTATAGCAACCTCGCCTTGGGTTTCCAAGGCAGTATCACTACAGAAGTAGATTGCCCAACCTTCCTTCCAAGGGGTGGCTGGTGGGTTTGAACTGCCAGCCTTCTGGTTAGCAGTCAAATAAAATAGGCACTATGCCACCGGGGCTCCCAAAAAAGAAGTCAAAGTGGGGAGGGGTTGGGATAGAACTAATGAAAAAGGCAATCCATGGAAAGCTGATAGTGGTCAGGAAATGTTTTTTTAGTATGGTCTGCAAATTCTCTGTGGAATTTATTTTTCAAAACCTCTTCTTTTTTGAGTCTTTAATGTTTATTTTTATAGCAACTATTCCTGTTTGGTGGATATAATATAGTCTTCTATCTTTCTAAGGGTTATCAACAGTTATTTTATACCATTTGAATAGTCTCCATTTCCTCCAAGTTAGTTTGTTTTCCTACTTATTTAATCTCTTTCATGTTAGACTTTCCTCAAATATTTCGAGATAGCTATCTGTTGGTATTTAAAATGAGGGTACCATAAACCTAATTAGAAGCAATGTACTTATGAATGTTGTTGTTATGTGCCATCGAGGTGGCCCTGACTCAGAGCGACCCCTCCTTGAGTTTCCAAGGTGATATCACTACAGCAGTAGATTGCCCAACCTTCCTTCTGAGGAGTGGCTGGTGGGTTTGAACCGCCAGCCTTCTAATTAGCAGCCAAATGCCTTAGGCATGGGCCTCACTCTACAGGGATATGTCTGCTCTGTGTTATTTCAAAATCCCTGATGCCAGTACTTTCAGGTCTTTTCTCTTAAGCTAGTCAGATTCTACAAAAGACTAATCAATCTTTGCCTGAGAGTATAAGCCTGGCTACTAGTATCCTAGGAGCCATGTCATTCCAACAATGACTTCTCTGTCATTCAACAAGACAACCAAAGGGTACCATTAACAGATAAAATGAAAGAACCATAAATATTCCCAGAAAAGTATTCTAAATGGGCCTATATAAGAAAATTATTATTTGAGTATAAATAGATTTCTAGCATACATAATCCAGATTAATGGTATACTATTTTATTATTATTGCTATGCAACTGGCATAGAGGTGTAGAAAAAAATGACCCTCGAAGAATTACTTTACTTTGTGGTTGGACATTAAACATATTATTTAATCAACTATATTTTATGTTTCTGATGACAAGGGCCATTTACACTAATTTATACCTGTCGCTTGGTAAACCAACATAGCACCATGCACAGAGAACACAATAAGCTGTGATCTAGCTCTAAAGATGTTATAGCAAAATCAAGTACAATAGTATTTTTATTAACTGGATAGTTACTTCATATCCCATGTACCTAAAAAGTATTTTTCCTATTCCAGAAAAAATCAGAGGGCCAAATGATCTGCTATAAACATATACCACACAGCTGTGGTAAAATATGTAAGATTTGGCAGCTAGTAGATTTTATATAATGATAAAGGAAATGTTTGCTGTGTACAACTATAAACTTAGTGTACTACATAAAGAAGGGGTGATGTTGGAAGGGAAAGTCATTTTTCTTTAATTTTTGGTAATGCACAAAAGCATTAATGATGATACTGTGCAAAATTTGGTATTTAATGCATGAAATTAGCCAAAAATAATAAATTCTGTGACATCTGGACAAAATTCTTAGTCTAAGAAAAAATATAACCATACCAAACATGCTGACATTCTGGCATTACGACCGCAGCACCATCTCTCTTCCTGTAGATAGCGGCACATTGGAAATCCCCACTTTTCTTGAGTACATTCTGCAGATGGGGGGGAAATATGGATCATTTAAATACAATTTTTCCTCTTTTAGTTAAAGTAAATAATCTGTTGAGAAAGTAAATTAGTCATTGAGAGAGTCAAACAGTAGTTAAACATGGGAACAGTGATGTTTAACAGTTCATTCCAGTCTGTTAACTGAAAGCATTTTAATGTTATGAGGATGGTATTTGCTCAGCCACAGCTGTTTTGTGTTTAAAAGCCCCAGGTCTGATAACCAACCAACTTGCCAAAAGTATTTCTCTAAGATTTACAAAACAATTTTAAATGAAAATATTCTTCATGTTCAGTGTAACTATATGTGATATGTATAAAATACCAACTGCTGACTTAACTTTCTAAAATAATGACTGTAAAAAATGGCATTTGGCAATTTATTATAGAATAATGTTAATTCATTCCTAATAATGCTGTAGGTTAAAATTTAATTTTAGCCTCTATGTTCACTTTTCAAACAAAGAAACACTGCACAGGCTCTAATTTTTTCATCATATTAGAGGTTGTAATACTTAAACTGATTCAATTTGGCCTCACTGCATTTATGATTCAAGTAACAATAATGAAAATCAACATTCATTACTTAATAACATATCTACTGCCCAACTTATCAACAGAGTTGCATATGCAGCTTGCTAATGTGCAAGTTATTTATGTAGAACTTTTAATTACAAAGGATTTTCAAAAAGGAAAACAAACCAAATTTCTATATTGAATTAAAGCTTGGAAAACAGGAGCTTAAATTTTATTAACAGTATTACAATTAAAAGAAAGTTGAGGTAAATATAAAATTTCCATTAGATTAAAAAGTAAAATAGAACTAAAAACTTGAAACAAGAAAATTCTTTAAAAGAAAATACAGTTGAGGGTTTTTTTCACTAATTAAACTTCAATGCTATGAAGGATCAGGTGACTTAATCTTATAATCAAAATTGAAAAAGCTTAGATAGCATGCACATGAAAAGTCTGTGAAAGAGGTTTCTTTCAAGAATTAAGTCTAAGCTCTTATCCACCAAACTATTTATGTTGCACATTTATATATATGCACATACACAAAGAATTTCACTTACAATTGCATAGGACTCATAGAGCTCTTGAAGCCTATACAGGTTTCTAGGGATATTAGGCTACTTCTCCAATTTTCAAGATGACTTCAAACAGTTTTTAAGTTTTATTGATTACCAAATTGAAGGCCTTAAGATTTAACTGACTCATAATCATTGCTAACTGAAAGAACTACTATATTAATTTCTTTTCTTACAGCTAAAAAAGAATTATTTATATCTTATGATTTACATCTTAGTACGATGGAGCTCTGGTAGCGTAGTGCTTAACACCTGACAGCTAACCAGAAGGCTGTCGGTTCAAACCCATCAGCCACTCCTCAGAAGTAAGGTGGGGCAATTTACTTCCATAGCAATACTGCCTCTGAAACCCAAGGAGGGGTCACTATGAGTCGGGTCTGACTGGATGGCACATAACAACAACAACAACAATGAAGAGTATGGGAGCTCAGGTGGCGTAGTGCCTAAGGCGTTTGACTGCTAATCAGAAGGCTGGCAGTTCAAACACTCCAGTCACTCCTCGGAAGGAAGACTGGGCAATCTACTTCCGTACAGATACTGCCTTGGAAACCCAAGGAGGAGTCACTGTGAGTCGAGATTGACTCGATGGCAGTGAGTTTGGTTTTGTTTTTCAGTATGAAGAGTACAGGGGCTCTGGTGGCATAGTGCCTAAGGCATTTGACTGTTAACCAGAAGGCTAGTGGTTCAAACCCCCCAGCCACTTTCCAGAAGGAAGACTGGGCAATCTACTTCTGAAGAGATATCACCTCGGAAACCCAAGGAGTGGTCACTATGGGTTGAATCGACTTAATGGTAGTGAGCTTGGAGCTAACGAAGAGTAAGGTGCTAGAGAGATGGGGTGTGCTATTTTATTCAGAATAGTTAGGGAAAGTGCTAACCCCTAAAACAGCTTTTCCCCAAAAGTCATTCTCTCCATGTTCCTAATAGTAGAAGAGTCCTCAATGTTTAGCGTGGCATTCAACTACTCAGATTAAAGACTGCAATTCTACACTCCCTTCCAGCTACCTAAAGAAAGTAGGTTTGGACAATGGGATGTAGTCAAATATTTGCAAATTCTAGGTCATCTGCTCAAAGGGATGGAGGTATGTTCTTTCCTCCATACCTCCCAATACCTTACTTCACTGTTCATCTGTCTAGAAGGTGATTGTGCTGGCAAGCCAACTACAACCACACAAACAAGAGCAGCAGAGAGTGAAGCAACAAAATACAACCATTCTGGGTTCTTGGAAAATGTTGTGGTATAGAGCTGTGATGTCAACTCTGATCACCTACTACTGAATTGCAATAAAAATATCCTTCTGTTTTGTTTAAAACCGAAAAACCATACCCACTGCCACTGAGTCAATTCCAACTCCTAGTGATGCTTTAGGACAGAGGAGAACTACCCCATAGGGTTTCCAAGCCTGTAAATCTTTACAGAAGCTGACTGCCTCATCGTTCTCCCGTGGAGCAACTGATGAGTTCAAACTACTAACCCCTCCTTGGGTTTTTATGGCGGTATCACTATGGAAGTAGATTGCCCAACTTTCCTTCTGAGGAGTGGCTGGTGGGTTTGAACTGCCAGCATTCTGGTTAGCAGTCAAGTGCCTTAGGCACTACACTAACAGAGCTCCCTAAACCAAAAAGTAGTTTAGCTGAATTAAAAAATAATGTCTGCCTTGAGCATTGTGCTCTTTTAAAACATTATGTGATCAAATTGACAACAGTAATTCAAAAAGTTAGACCAGAAGCTAAGGAGGGCAGTGAGTTTTGGTTAATGATGGTAAAATAATTTGGAAAAGGATTTCAAGAAAAGTGGCATTGCAGAATGTAACAAGTCACTAAATTATACATGTAGAAACTATTAAATTGATGTATGTTTTGTTGTGTATATTTTCACCAAAAATTTTTTAAAACAGAACAAAAATCCTCAGGAACACCCATAAAGCACCAATGACATGCTAGTTGACTAGGTCTGGCCTAATTAATACAGAAGTATTCTAGGAGAATATGATACTTGAGCAGAAATGTAAATCAAATAAGGGAGGCAACCCATGAGCTTACCAGGGGAAGACTTAATAAACACATACATACACAACAAAACCTGAGTTTCTAACAGGACATAATTAATGTCCAAATAATACCGGAATATCTTCTAACTTTAAAGGATAGTTGACTAGCAGATGATTTCCCAACCTCTCTATTATTCCAACCAAGAAACTACAAAAAAAAAAAAAAACTTGTAACACTGGAAGAGAAGAGATTAAAGGCAACTTGCTGCAGAACGTGGAAAGTATCCTTATTCTTCGAATGGATTTGTAAAGGAAAGATATGATCCGTGGACCATTACTGCTCTGTAATTCACCTTATGCTTCCAGGAAAAGCAGTCTAAAATTGCCTGAAAATGGGTAGAAATTTTCTCCTCCAGTGATATTATGAAGAAAAATGCGACTGGAACAAACTGCTAGTTATATTAAATTGAAAGAGGTACAGTATAGTTCTGGAAATGAATTGCATTGGAAGGGATACATTATTTCCAGAAAAAAAAAAAAGACTCAAATATAAGAAACCCATAGCAAAGTTACTCCAACTTCTTGACTGAGAGGCAATATGAAAGATAACAAGTAATAATTGTAGTTTTAAGCATCTAAGTTTTGTGGTGATTTCGTACACAATATTAGATGCTGTTAGGCCATGCTGAGTTGGTTCTGACTCATAGCAACTCTGCATACAACAGAACAAAACACTGTCTGATCCTGTGCCTTCTTCGCAATCATTGCTATGCTTGAGCCCCTTATTGTAGCCACTGTGTCAATACATGTTGTTGAAGGTTTTCCTCTTTTTTGCTGACCCTCTCTCTTTACCAAGGAGCTCTGGTAGCATAGTGCCTAAGACATTAGACTGCTAACCAGAAGGCTGGTGGTTCAAACCCACCAGCCACTCCTCGGAAGGACGGTTGGGCAATCTACTTCTGTAGTGATATCTTGGAAACCCAAGGAGGGGTCACTATGAGTCGGGGCCAACTTGGCGGCACATAACAACAACTATCTTTACCAAGCATGATATCCTTCTCCAGGGACTGGTCCCTCCTGATAACATGACCAAAGTATGAGAGATGAAGTCTTGCCATCCTCACTTTTAAGGAACATTCTGGTTGTACTCCTTCCAAGAAGGATTTATTTGTTCTTCTGGCAATCCATGATATATTTAATATTCTTTGCCAGCACTGTAATTCAAAGGCATTAATTTTTCTTTGGTCCTCCTTACTCACTTTCCAGATTTCACATGTATATAAAGCAATTGAAAATACCATAGCTTGGGTCAGGTGCACCTTAGTCTTCAAAGTGATATCTTTGCTCTTCAACACTCTAAAAACGTCTTTTGCAGCTATTTACCCAATATGATATGTCATTGCTTGGTAAAGTGGAGGGACAATGAAAAAGGGGAAGGCCCCAGCAAGAAGGATTGACATAGTGGCTGCAACAACGGGGTTAGGTATAGCAGGGATCATGAGACTGGCACAGGACCGGGCAGTGTTTAGCTCTGTTGTATGTAAGGTCGCTATGAATTGGAAATGACTCCATGCCACCTAACAACAACAACTCAGTATGTCATTTGCTATGCTGACTGCTGCTTCTAGAGATGTTCCTTAATAACTTTAATCTTTTCCCTGTTTATCATGATGTTGCTTATTGGTCCAGTTGTGAGGATTTTTTTTTTTTTTCTTTCTTTACTATGAGGTATAATCCAAACTGAAGGCTATAGTCTTTCATCTTCATCAAGTCAATTCTGACTCATAGCCACCCTGTTTGGGTTTCCGAGGTGGTAAATCTTTGTGGAAGTAGATTGCCCAGTCTTCCTTCTGCTGATCTTCATCAGTAAGTGCTTTTTGTCCTCTTGACTTTTAGCAAGGAAAGTTG